TGGTGGCATCAGTAACCTCTGTGCAGCTGAGTGGAAGAAGGGAAGTATCAGTAGGGAGAAGGAAAGTATGTGTGAGGCTGCTTCACTGCGGTGTGAGACAACAGCAGTGTATTTTAGCTTTGCCAGCTGCTGCCTGGTTTAGGAAAACAACCCAAGGCTTATTGTATAACTAGATAGTACAGGCATTATCACAGGGCCAACAGGGAATGCTTTGCTGTCTTGCAGGCTCATGCCTGGCAGACTGAGTAGCTCTGCAGCCCTTATCAACAAAATACCCCACTGGCAGAAATCCCTTGAGCCTCAGGCTGGGCCCTTTGGGAGCCTCTTCTCTGTCTGATCTCTTTGTTCAAGGGTTCCCCTCTTTCCCAACTAGAGATGTTTGAAATCCCTCTTGGCAATTAGTCTCCTGGCTCAAATGAATTACTCCTCTCTGAGCCTTTTGGGCTCCATGGTTGGTGTCTGGTGGGGGGGCTCACTTGGTGGATGCGGTGTTCTTGCTTGGTCTCACTGGCTGGGGAAATACTTAAAGAGTTTCTGGGTGAGGAATGCAGTAGTGCCACGGAGAGAGGCAGAGGGAGGAGAAAGTTTTAAGGCCTCATGAGCAGGATCTTTCTATGCAAACATCTTGCATGTCACTTTATGTGTTAAGAGCAGAACAAAGGCAGCTTTATTTCTTTTTTTTCCATGGTTTCTTTTCTTGCCATTTTTGCCCCTTCTGTATTTTTCTTTTTCTTTTTTTTTTTTGTGCTCTGTTGGGGAGATTGTTCCAGATATCAGTGAACAGGGAATGCTTTGCTGTCTTGCAGGCTCATGCCTGGCAGACTGAGTAGCTCTGCAGCCCTTATCAACAAAATACCCCACTGGCAGAAATCCCTTGAGCCTCAGGCTGGGCCCTTTGGGAGCCTCTTCTCTGTCTGATCTCTTTGTTCAAGGGTTCCCCTCTTTCCCAACTAGAGATGTTTGAAATCCCTCTTGGCAATTAGTCTCCTGGCTCAAATGAATTACTCCTCTCTGAGCCTTTTGGGCTCCATGGTTGGTGTCTGGTGGGGGGGCTCACTTGGTGGATGCGGTGTTCTTGCTTGGTCTCACTGGCTGGGGAAATACTTAAAGAGTTTCTGGGTGAGGAATGCAGTAGTGCCACGGAGAGAGGCAGAGGGAGGAGAAAGTTTTAAGGCCTCATGAGCAGGATCTTTCTATGCAAACATCTTGCATGTCACTTTATGTGTTAAGAGCAGAACAAAGGCAGCTTTATTTCTTTTTTTTCCATGGTTTCTTTTCTTGCCATTTTTGCCCCTTCTGTATTTTTCTTTTTCTTTTTTTTTTTGTGCTCTGTTGGGGAGATTGTTCCAGATATCAGTGTGCTTGAGTTCAGATTCAGTTTAAGGCCAGCTCCTAGTGTGTTTATGCTAAAGGGGTTTGAGACACAAGTGGGGGGCTGAGCTTGAATGTACCTGCTAATACGATGGATCTCCCCGCTGGGTCAGGGCACTGCTGAAGAACCGCAGAGGGAGAGGCCAGGCTGAGCAGCAAGGGAAGAGAGCAGACAGCAGGAAGTTAAATCTGTGGGTGTTAGTCTGCAGAGGATTACTTCATAATATATTTTTTCCAGTTCTTATTTTTAAATGGCTCCACATTATCTAGTCAGAGTACTTGTTTTGGGGGCCTTCCCTGGAAGTGTGGGTATTGAGGGCAAACTGGAGCAATCTGGAAGGCTGGCAGAGCAATCTAAGCAAGACTTTCCCCTTTCTGTCCCAGGGGACCATATGTGACTTTGTCGTCATATCTGCCATAGCCAGCTCTCTTGCACTGTGTGAGGAAGGTCCTGCATCCATCGTGCAAGGTCCAGGAAGGCTTTCCTATTCTAGGTTGGCTGAACACTGTGGCATTGCCACATGAGTCTGTGAGCTGTCCTCCTGGGGAGCCCCATCCTACAGCTGCACGGGGAGGAGGGTGTCCACAGTGTACAGTCATGTAATGAGGCTGGGTGGGAGAGAGCTAGACTTGTGGGTGGACCTTCATTCTGATCTAGGGATGTGCTGGTGTAAAGGAGTGGTGGGAGCTCTGTTCACATCTGGCAGTGTTGGACTCTGCCTGCTGAGATACAGAAGTCTCTGACTGGGCTCTGTGACTTGGTAAAAACATTGTAGTAACTGTTTTATCTCGGCTTTAACTGATTATTGAGTCTATTTGTAGCACACTGATCATTGTGTTTGCCTGAGCCCTGTGGGAGCTCCTGGGGACTAGGCTCCCATCCCATCTGTCTTGCTCAGGTATTTGTTAGTCCTGGGAAGATTAGTGCAGAATAATCCATGGAAGAGACTGGGGTCTATGTTCTAGGCAGATCCTTTATCATAGTCCATTGCATGAGAGCTAAGGGTAAAAAGAAGAGCTTCATGCTTTACTTTCCCAGTGTTCTCTGAGACAAAAACTTGGATCTTGGAACAACACCCTTTGGATGTCCCGTTGCCCTCACTCCCCTTTCTCATCCTGCAGAGCACTATCAAAAGAATAAAATGGAGCCACTGGATTATTTTAAGGCTACACTGGAGAGTGTAGAAGATGGTGTATGAGAAATTTAAACAATGGATCTTTATGGAAGGAGTAGCATCTTTCAACATAACAGAAGTAAGAGCATAAAGGCACTCCCAGCTCAGGCAATCTTGCCAGCAAGGGCTGAGAGGCCAAAATCTGGCTATGGGGTTTACTTGTGCCTCATCCCCCTGACTTCAAGGAGAGCTGGCTGGAAATGTGTGGATCCCTGTTTTGGCAAAACTCAGCTGCCTCCTTGCTCAGGCTGCAAATCCCTGGAGGATCTTGTTCTTGCCCTTGCACAGCTGAGCTATGTTCAGGGTCTGGATGTTGCTACAGTGCTCTTATTAAGCTTTTTGAGGCTATTTCAGAAAGGCATCTGCAGTAGCTTCCACAGGTATCTGAATTCTGATGTGATTCTGTGAATACACCATGGACCTTCTGGGACAGCAAGGGATTTGTTAGCTGTGCTGGGATTGATGAAACTGAGCCCTGTTTTTGTTGCTTGACCATGCACGATGGTGTCTGATTAGAAACGAGAATTTACAGAAGAAATGGAGGCATTTCTTAGGATGAAGGGGCAGAGCCCTTTTTGATTTAGGGAGTGGCTGAGGCCTTGAGCTGCTAAGCCCTGAATGATTTTTAGACAAGAAAGCTCCATGTCTCTGTGGTATGACAAACATACCTTTCTACTGCTATGGAGCAAGCTCCAGTTTAAGCCTTGGAGTGTGGGTTTAAGACTTAGTCTTGGTTCTTCAGCTTAATTCCAAGAGAAAAAGGACAAGCAATTTTTGTGATAGGAAGCCAAATGTTGTTCAGCTGGTGCTGGGAGTGAGGCTCTGCGATATCTGTGTGTGAGCTGGGCAGTGAAGGGTCAGTGATGGAAGATCCTGAGGGCCAGAATTCTGATGATTTAGAGATTAAATCCCTGCTCTTTGGGCAGCTGAGACCTCCTGCAGCAGCTTCTACAGATGCTCTTAGGGGAGCCCCTGCACCATGTGGAAGTGAAGGCTGGCTTGTTTGCTGTGGTGGATCTAGCACGATCCAAGGTGTAAGGAGCCTGGCGAAGAGGATCTTGGATATTATGCGATCAATTTCAAACAGAGGTGCTTACACTAGGACTGAGTTTGTTTTTCATCTGATACCAGACTAAGAAGCTTGGTGGAAGGAATTTGGGTTTTAGTCATGCTTTTGTTGTGTGGTTGTGGTGGAATGGAGCCGAGCATGTGGGCTCTTGCGTGAGCGTTGCTGCTGAATGCAGTTTTGGTAGCTTCTCCTCAAGGTATGGCTCTTCTGATATCTTGTTGGAATCACGGGGAGAGTGGTGAATCTAGAGAGCTACTGATGTGAGGGGAAAAAATGGAACTTAGGTTTGTATTGTGATATTCTTTTATTAGTTTTGAAGACCTAAAACATAGGAATGGTGGTGACTGGGATGAACTGCTTCCAAACCAGCATCAGCACTTTAGAGTTGAACCCTGATCTGGGGAGTGGTCGCCAAAGCTGTCATGAACCCCTGGTCTTCTTTATTCTTTCTTCTTGCTCCCCCCCCCCCCCAAAAAAAAAAAAAAAAAAAAAAAAAACTGGGTTGTAATAGAAATGGGCTGAAACTGCAGTGTGTTAAATGTGCTCTATCCCATTTTGTAGTGCTTGCTGGTTCATGTTCTACAGTGGTAAGCCTCCCTAATGTGAGTCAGGCTTCAAAGGCTTGCTCACCTGTGCTGGGATGGCAGGTGAGAACTTAGCTGCAAGGAACCATCCCTTGCTGCTAGCTGTTGGCTGCTCTGCAGCTTTGGTCATCTGTGCAGCAGGGATGTTTTTGCTGCTCAGGAATTTCAGCTGTAGCATGTGGGTGTGTAGGATGGAGGCCATGTGTCAGAGCTCCTGTGTGGCCAGCTGTAAGCCACAGCTGCCCTAGCTGTACACACTGAACCTCTCCAAGATGAAGCACATAGCCCAATGCTTGCTACCATCTTTCATAACCCTGTGCACAGCTCCAGGACCCTCCTGTGGCTCTGATTCCTGCCCATACCTCCCCAAATCAGAACTCAACCCTACTCCTGATCCTTCCCCTACACTTAGTCTCCCAAACAGGTCTCCACACTCTCCAACCCAAGATCCCAATCCCATGTGCTGCCCTATGCTTGGTTATCTACCTACCCATCAGCTATGCCAGCTGCAAAGGCTCTTGGAATGAGAGGGTTAGGGGAATGTGCTGCACCTGGGAGTGTAATTTGTGTTTACTTCTTCTGGGGCTTCATGCTCAAAGCAAGGAATGGTTTGTCCTCGGCTAACATAAAATGTGTGTAAACATGACTGAATTTTTTTAAAAGTGCTCATTTAACTTGTTTCTCTCATTTTTCCTCTCCCTTTTTCCCCTACTTTAAGCTTTGGATAGATTCTAGATTAATGAGGAAAAAAAAATATTCTTTCATTATGAATTTATTGAGAAGCATGAAAAGCGTATAGTTTAGGTACAGAATAGTTTAGGTTCACATATCACTTAAAAGACATTCAAGAACAAAAAAATTCCAAGTAGGGTCCAGAAGACTTGAGTGATATGAATCCAGTGACAGGATATGGATCATGGGGGGGGGGAAAAAGGCATGTTCATCCTACTTGGTCTTTTTTCTGTGGTTACAACCAAACATATATTGGCGGAGGCTCCAGACAAGCCCCAGGGAAGGCTGAAAATGTTGAGCACTGTAACTGCATAATATGTGATACATATGAAAGTCATCTTTAGCCTGTGTTAGAAATGGATACCTCCATAATGTACTGCAAGAAAAAATATGTTTAGGCTCTCGCCTGTTCTGCCTCATGCTATTTTCATCCTAAAATGAGAATGTTGGTATCGGATGCTTTCTACTTGCAGCTATATATATTAGAAGCAAAAAGTGGGCTACAGTGTGCATTTAGAGATAAAATTGCCACTAGAGGGTCTAGTGACTTCTTGAAAATAGTGAATTAAAGAGGAATAGCATCAGAACCACTGTGTGGGGATTATTTTTTTTTCAGAATTGTTGCATCATGCGAGAAGATCACTTGGCTTGAATAGCTTTGGTAGTCTGTAGCTTTCATGAAACTGGTTTGTTGCTAATAATACTCTAAATAATTTTTCACAGTAAAATCAGCACAAGCGACAGTGACGCGATCTTCATTAGTCAGCTTTGCTGAAATTGTGTAATCTCCCTGTATGAGACAAACACAAAGCAAGAGATTAGCCCATCAGTATTATATAACCGCTTCTGTTTCTAGGAGAGAGTCCTTTTCCTAGAAACAGAATAACGCTTTTCTCATCAAGTTCCTTCAAAACCTTTCCTGTCCAAATGTTTCAGAACTAGTAAAGGACTTAGCCATGTTTTCTGCCAAAATACTCTCATCAGGGGTATCGATGCTGACAGCACAAGTTCAAAATTAAAACAGCGCAAGGGGAATGAAAGGTTTTGATGCATAAAAATTCTTATCAAATCTGTATAACTTCTCACATTTCTTATGAGCAAGCACAGTATGGCCTGTGGAAGGGGAAGAGGTGCTCAGTTGTCTGGCACTTCTCTTCCTTCCTTGGATCTTGTTGTTCAGTATGTACACTGTTATTGATATGGATTTTTATAAAAGAGTACCTCGGGGGATGTGTGTGTAGATGACTCAATCTGTGCTGAATTCCTATATAATAAAACAAGAGGTGGTTTAATTTAAAATTGTGTTGTTAAAACAACTAATAACTCAGGCTTTGGGGAGAATTTGTTTCATTGCAGTGCAAAAAATAGCAACCTCATAGAAGCTGTGGCTTTTTTTGGATTGGTCAAAAGAGCTCTCCAGACACTTGTAGAAGGAGAAGCACTGGTCAGGGGAGGTGACAATGCTCATTTAACAGATTTGGTGAAGAGGTGAACTAGATTTCATTCACTCTACATTGCTGGCACTGCACTATTTCTTTCTGGTGGTTTTTTGTGGTGTTGTGGTTTGTGTGTGGTGTGTTTTTTTTTTTTTTTTTTTTTTTTCTGGAGTGTGAAGGGAAGCAAAACCTGGGGTAGGAGAGCTTGGCAGCAGTGGCCTCCTGGCTTTGAAGCATAGAAAACTCTTGCCCTGCTCAGGGCTCTTCTGGTTGTGGAGTAGAAGGAGGCACAGCTAGAATGAGTCAGGCTTCTTGGCATTTGCCTTTTACCATGGGATTTCTAAAGCAATAACTGGCCTGTGTCCTCACAGAGATGTTCAATCTAAGTGTAACATCCAAATTTAGAGGCCCGATGGCAACACACTCATGAGAATACATTCTCGTTGTAATTGCTGCGCAGACTGTGCAAGTGTCCTTCGGGCTGCTCAGATGAGGTTGTTCTTTGTAATGAGCAGATGATGATTGCTGCACGGAGTAACTCCGTAGTGTTGGCATGGAAGGATTGCATTATTTGCCTGATTGATTTAATTAACAAAAAAGGCTTCCTATTCCCTTTCTCACAAGCATGTTAATTCTCCAAAAGCTTAGTTTCATTCATGGGAGGGAGTTTATAATAACTCATTTCCATTGCTTGTTAGTGATTAGAATTTTTTCCTCCTCGAGCACAACTTTTTGCTCATGGGTAAAAATTGTTACTAAAAGAGGATCGTGAACAGTCTTAGAATTTCTGGCTCCAAATTCAACTAACTTGCCAGGAGTTTTACTGGTCTGTGTGGATGTTTCTAGGGTTTCCTCTTGGTCTAAAGACCCATTACTCAACTTGTCTAGAGCCTTTACTACAGAAGTGTCCTCAGTATGTTAGTAAAGCTGCTCCTGGAGCAGGATGCTGACTGATACAAGCTTGGGAACTCCAGTGTCAGAGAACACAGCATCTCTAGGCATAGCCTTTAGGGAAGCAGGCTGGTAAGGGTAGGATAACAGTCTGCATAAGGGGGCCCAGCTGCCTGTGTGAGACCCTTGGAAAATGAAGGTTGTGGTTGCTGCTATCACCAAGGAAGACTGAGACACGTGACATGGTAGCTGTTATGGAGGTTCAATCCTCCCAAAAGCCAGCTATCCTTGTTATCATCTCTGCAGGTCTTGGCAAGCCTGGCCCTCTGGGACTCATGTCCTTGTCCTGTATCCCTGTTACGATCCTGTCATGGTCTTTTCCTGCACCTGGACCAAACCAGTGCTGAGCAGGCCCCAGACCTCATCTTTGAGGCTGTGACATAGGTTTTATATCTGCTGCTGAAGAACTGAGAGCTTGTGCTGTGCTTGTCTGTGTAAGTAAATCTAAGGAATGTTTGACTGACTACTTGAACTGTATGCTTTTGCAGTAGTGACTATGAGCCTTTCTTCATTATGTTCTCAACCAGATGCCTCAGTGATGCAAATCTTGCCTTCCACCCTTCTATCCAGTCTCTTCCTGTCTGTGGCTAAAAATCCTTTGTTATTTACTGGTCAAATACAGCATCATGTTGTACCCAGTTAAGAGATACTGTGGTGCATTCAGCATTTGAGACCTTGCTTTGCAATGTGATTTGGTTGACTTCTAAGAAGGAGACTTAGCTGAGTGTGGAGAAGGCTGCTTGTAAAGAGCATCTGTAATGGATGACCAGGAAATTCAGAGCGGTGCCTAGAGTACTGCTTGTTTTCCTACCCTTCTAAGAAATTATTTATTTTAAGGCTCCATAAGTGCTGAGAAAGAGTTCTTGGCCCAATAACTTATACTTTCAGTTGCAACCTAGAATACCTCTGTCTCCTTATCTAACACCATACATTTGCAGTGGAATACATATATTTGCAACAGTTATTTAAACTGCCTCTATAGCCAGTGAGGATGAATAAGCTTCTCCAAGTTGTTCAGCCCACTAAGGAGTGAGCTGAATTGCAGCCTTGGTCTCTCGGGAGTTGCTTCGAGCTGCTGCTTTTGTTGCCATTTTAAGAGTAATGGGGAGCCTACTGAAGAACTGTATGGCAGCATGATTTAGTGCTGGTAGAGGGGATCTGCTATCGGAAGAAAACCCATCTGTCTCTGGATAATGGTGGCTCTCCTAATGTTTTAAGCAAAGCCACTTAATTTCATACTGAAAAGGATTAGTAATTGTAAACACTATCAGATCCAGTGTGCTAGCTGGGGGAGCTTGGAACGTGCTGATGTGATTGCTGGCAGTCCTCTGACCATACCTCATCTAGAAAGCCCTTCTGCTTGGGAGCACAGCTCTGACCAACTTACCTGCGGGATTTCTTTGATCCCCAGCGTGACTGGTCCCTCATAGTAGAGGTGTTCTAAAAAGCAAAAATGGTGATGGGTGGTTAGACGTACAGCACGTGAAGGAAACAAGCAGCTGATCGTAGATGCTTTTTTGTAATAGCACTTCAAAGTGCTCCAGTGACAAGTGTTATGGAACTGCAAAGTGCTCTATACACAGTCTTGCAACAGCCCTCCTGTGAGCAATGTCAGGATGTGTACTGCTGTATGGGGAAAGCAGGGCAGAGCCTGGGCTAAAGGAGGACCTGCAGTCCCTGTCTGAGTGGAAGAGGGGGGTATGGCTTTGCACAACTAGGTAGGTGTTCCCATGTCAGCATGCATCCTGCAAAATAGGGAAATGAAAGGGGAGGAGGATGGTCAGACACAAGTCCTTTAGCATGATCTGTTAGCATGATCTGTTAAACACCTGCAGCTGCAATAGTTGAACTATGTTTTTTTTCTTAAAGTTACCAAAGCATTAATCTGAGCTGAGTGTTTCTGTAGGTGTGGACTTCTGTCTGCTTGTTGAACATGACCTTAAAGTAATAAGAACATGTCTATCTCGCTGCTGAGGGAGCATTCACCAACAAGTTACATGATGTGCTAAAGCCATCACAAGTTGTGTTGGTGACTGGAATAGAGCCCAGGAGTTCCACCTTCCAATCCTCATCTCCCTAATCATGAGGCATGCTTGCTTTTTGCTGTTGAAGAAAGGGAAACTTTGGCATTAATGGACAGAATTAGCAAGCTGTTCTGCAGTTCCTCCTACTTTTTCATAGCTTACTGGGCCAAACTGTGCAGACTTGACTGAAAATAAAATTTGTAGATGTTTCAGTATTTCAGAATTTCTTGCACAACTTGCCCTCCACAAGTCATGGAAAAGTCTAAGAACTGTTTAAGGATTCTCTTTTTGTAGGTGTCATGAAATATTCTTTACTTTGACAGTGACAGGAGTAAGTGTTTCATCATATTTATGTGAGTATGTGCTGGCATCTTGATGCTTGTCACTTCTAGAGAGTTGTTTTAGTCCAGTCTCACTGTGCTGGTTTAAAATGTTTCTTGTGAAAGGTTGGACAAATGGTTTGTAACATGTTTGTTGTATGGTCCATCCCACCATGCAGTAGATATCTGACTTAGAGAAGAGTCACAGAAGAGCACAGAAGGTCTTCCCCACACAGGCTATAAAACATTAGTCAATGCCTTGTAACAAACTTTATATGAAAGAATCATGACTATAAGATAAACTAACAAAAGAGTAGGAGAAACCTGAGACATCAGCAATGTCCTACACCTTTGCATTAATGAGCAGTTCATTACATGTAATGCCCTGATGATGCAGAACTTTTCAGTGTTGCCCTGAAAAACCTAATACCAAAACCAAGAGTAGAATAAGTATGATGTGGCTTGTCACTCTCAAACTCATCAACTATGCTACAGCACTCATACTGTACTCATTCCCCTCTGCATCCCTGGCTACTTCACCTGGACACCAAGAAGTCTTTTCCTTTTCAAGGAGCAGTTACCACTGCTGCTTGCTTCTGTGCACGAAGCAAGAGCTCTGAGTCTGACACTTCTCTGCTGCATAGCGCGGTGACTCAAGAATTTTAAAAATACAGTACAGCCCACTTCTCAGTTCACAACTTACTGGAGTCTAAATGGGAGTTAAAGGCACTGCAGACTGCATGACTTCAGTGAGGAGTGAGTCCCTTGGGACTTGAGCTCTGTGTGTGTTGGTGTGTGCTAAGCCATATTGTGAGCTGCCCCCTCAGGGTGGTGTGGGCAATGCAGTGGTGTAGCTCATGGTTTGTGTGTGTCCTTTTGTTCATTAGAGATCCTTGTCTGACTGTTTCTCCTTCAGTCAGCTCTGAGCCTAGCAAACCTTGGATGGCAGCAGAGAAGAGTGAAGAGGAAACTGGGCTATGAACTATCACCCTTCCACAAAGTCCTTCTCCACAGGGACATGGAAACTCCTCTTGGATCACATGGCTGGTTAGGGTCTCACCTATATTCTGGATGGCTTTCCAACAGCCTAAACCTACAGATACACTATTCAAGCTCTGCAAAGCCTATATTTTAAGATGAAGTAGGAGTCATCAGGCCATAAATTTGCTTCTGAAATTATGGCAATGCTAATCTCTCTTCTAGTGTAGGTAGAAGCTATTTTTCTCCTACTTTGCTGTGACAAATTAATGATTACATCAGAGCTAGATGAATGCAGTCTCAGTGCTCTGCCTCATCCCTCTCAGAAGTTTTCCATGATTGCTGTGACTTGTGGCAGGCTATGCCCTTGCTTGCTAATCAATGGAGTAATTCTCAGGGCTGTCCTCTTAGGCACCCTCAAACTGTGGTCCTGGGTGTCCAGCTTGAGGTCCGTGTTTACTGTTTTGTGCTTCAGCATTGGCCTTGTTTAGCTCTTTCTAATCAGGGGTCTTGCAGTGGTTCACAGTTATTGATCATATGGAGCTTCTGGAGAGAGTCCAGTGAAGGGCCATTGAGACGATTAAGGGACTGGAACATCTCTCCAATGAGGAGAGGCTGAGAGCACTGGGACTGTTCAGCCTAGAGAACAGAAAGATTAGGGGAGAGCACATCAACATGTACAAATACCTGAAGGGAGGGTGTAAAGAGGAGGGAGCCAGACTCTTTCCAGTGGTGCCCAGTGACAGGACAAGAGGCAGTGGGCGCAAATTGAAACACAGGAAGTTTCTTCTGAACATCAGGAAAGACTTTTTACTGTGAGGGTGACTGAGCACTGGTAGAGGTTGCCCGGAGAGGCTGTAGAGTCTCCATTCCTGGATATACTGAAAACCCCTGCCTGGACATGGTCCTGGGCAACTGGTTGTAGGTGGCCCTACTTGAATAGGTGGGAGTTGGATTAAATAACCTTAGGAGGTCCCTTCCAACCTCAACTGTTCTGTGGTTCATGTAACAAGGCCTCTAGAAAACTCTCGTGACCTTCCTTCAACAATGGGGGTAAAAGGACTGTGGTGCTCTGAAAGTAGATCCTGACAGGAAAACAAGACAGCTTTCTCTTTCAGCTAGTTGAGGCCTGCCAGGAAATAATATGGATCCATAAATCTACTGAATTTTATCATTCATACTCAGTACAGACCATGGCAACCTCCTCAGTGCCTATGCTGGCTGGATCAGGCTTTTCAAAGCCCATTCAATGTTCCTTTCACATGAGGATTTCTGTTATAATTCCAGAAGTGTAACCATCTTCCAAGGCTTTAAGGACTGAAGTTTCTCACAGCATCCTTCATATACTCATACATTTTTCTCCATATATTCGTATATTTTTGCATTCCTCCATTGAAAGAGGATGAATACATCTGTTGCAGCGAGTGTAACTGTCACAAACACTGATCCTAGCTCACTGAAAGAATTCTGTGGTCTTTTTAGAGCATGCCCAGATGTCATTGCAAAAATGTACGAACATTGGGAACAGCATAAATCATGAGTGCATTTTTCCAAGTAAAAGTTCCCCTATGTTTTTATTGGTCTGCTGGTAAGTTATGGTATCTGTCAGGCATGCTGTCATCAGTGATGTGCTTTCAGTCCACCTTCAATTTTCAGCCCTTTTTCTTGAAGACTTAACTGAAGGGGACTTCTGTAGATCATCCTGGAAAGCATTTCTAATGTACCACTGATTCAAGGTGATATTACTGTATTTGATATTATTACATTTGTTGTAGCACCTCTTCGCTATTGTTTCTACCACATGTAACTTAGTCCTTTTCCCTGCAAGTGAGCAGGCCTTTGGTGGCTTCCGGTATGAAGCAGAGCTTTCAAATGTGTAAGAACTTCCTGAGGATTACTTCAAGTTACTAGTTATCATTTATCGTGAAGATGCCTCTCATTCCTGACAAAACACCTATAATGAAATTCTCACTCCTCTTTCTCAAATCTTCCTTGCACTGAAAAAAAATCTTTAAACATTCTCACACTCTTGTGCTATATAAAGGCCCTGTACATCTGCACCCACCTCTTCCTTTTCCTATGTTTTAAATCTTTTTAGAACTTAAATGCTCCATGTTGGAGTTCTTCTAGGACACAATTTGCACCCATGCAACTGACACGCAACTTCTGTGAGTTTTAGGGATGCAGGAATGATCTGGATGACTGCCAGCTATAGATGTATAGTTGAGTGAGAAAAATGTATATAACTACATATCTGGGTGAGAAACATCCACTCTCCTTACTGGGGAGGAAAAAGTCAGATGAAGGGGCCAAGCAAGATTGCATTGTGTATCAGCCCGAAGACCTAGCTTTGTGCTGTATCTGCTTTCTCAGAAACATGTACCTAAACTCTCAACGTGATATCCAGTTCTGTAATTTATGCTGTGTTCTCTGCTTTTATTCACAAATACTGTTTTAGCAACTTGGTCACTAACACCTATCAAAAGAGGCAATAATGTAAAGGAACAGAGCGCTGAAGTAAGGAGAGGGGGTTCCTCTATGGTTTGGGAGTGTGCACAAGGAATCACGCAAGTGCTCTGGTGGTGCCTTTATCAGTTGGGGCTGAAAGAGAACTTGCAGACTTGCAGAGGATGCAACTATCTTTTCTCAGGAAGCTTTCTTTAAGCCTGCAAGTTGTGGTTGGCAGATTGCTAAATACTACCCTGGTAGGTCTTTTTCTCTGATTTTAGTGATTGCATTGGGAAATCTGTTAAATCTTATGTAACTATTTTCTTTGGAGGAAATGGGGAATAACCAACACTTCCTACTAAAAAAGGCGAAGAGCTGAGTTTGTTATGCCAAAAAGAATTTAGCAGTTTTGTTGTTATTATTCTTAAATGGACAATGGCCCATTTCCTTGCAACCTTTGAGCCAACAACTTCACAACAGGCATATAGCTCAAAGAAAAAGATCTTGGAATCCTATTTAGGAGTCCCAGTGTGCAGTGCCAGATGTGACCTTTGCTTAACAGAAATAGTAAATACTATATGATTATGATGATCATGAAACCCCTAGCTATATTAAGTCTCCTAAAATATTTCCAGTTATGGCAAAACTGTAGCATTATAGGAGAGCAAAGAAAAATAAAACCACCCCAAACACCCAAGACTTTACCACATCCAGCTCTTCTAAGTCTCTTCTCCTTGTAACTTCTGCTCCACTCGTCCACACAACTGAGTGGACCAACAAAGCCTGTAGCAGAACTGTGTTCTGTCGCATTTTTGGGAGAGGAAGAAACAGGCAATTTTTGGCCTCCTTGTGGAAGGCAAGAAAATTCTGTGTGGAACTATATTTAAACTCAAGTTAGGTCTTGGCAGATGTTGGAAATGTTGCCCATACAACAGGGGAAAAAGGGGCTCTGTATGAAAAGCTTCTGTTGAAAGGGTTATGTCTTCCTCTGTAACTTTGCTAGGCTGCATACTTGGCCATTCACAATGTTGTCCTTTTTGCATAGGTGTTAGGTCAGATTTACAGCTGTGCTGATATGGTGAATTATGGCTGCGCTGAATTGCCTCAAATTGGTCTTCAGCTCAATTTGGTGTCCTAAACATGGGTTAGAATCAAATGTCAACTGATTAAGAAATACCACGTCTTCAGTTTGAACCTTAGTCTGAGAAACTACTTCTTTCCTGCTGTTTTACTAAATAAAAACAGCTACTGAACAAGAGGGTGTGTATTAAAAAGTGTGTGGCAGAGGTCTTCACACTAACTTAGGGATGCTTCTAAATGAAGATACATATTATTTAAACAACCAACTATGGGTTTGTATCATAATGTACTTCAATTAGTAGAAACAATCACCTGTCAGTTTAAGATTAAAGGACTTGGAAACCCCAGGAGATTTTGGCTTTGTGGCTTAACGTGTGAATAGCAGTTTGTGCTCAGCTCGGGACTTACTCTTACTTCTCCTTAATGTATTCTCTAAAGGATATTATTTAGTACTTCATTAGAATAAGACAGTTTCTCAGTATGTCTGTGGGTGGTTTTTTCCCCTTGTAATTCAATAGGCAATTGAAGAAACCTCTGAATTTAATTTTTTTTTTTGTCTATCTGGCTTACAGGATTTACCTAATTGGTTGCTCATGCAGCATTTCTCTATTATTCTTTGTGATATTTATACGCTGTGTGAAATGTCTTAGCAATTTTCCAGGGGCTGTCTTGGCAGTAGTGCTGTGCGTGGTCTTTAAACTCATAGCCCTTGCACACAAATTATTGCAGCATTATCAGGATGGGGATGCAAGTGAATGGAAGGAAAGCAGAGCTTCTGAAACTAACTGGTGCTCTAACAGCTCTGAAACTTCCCTGCAGCTCTACCTGCTTATTTTAAAATCAGCCTAAGGAGGTGATCATGATGTAAGAGGGATTTCAAAATAACCATATAAGATGTGTGGCTATTACAGTCCGGAGGCACAACCATAGCTCTTCTGGACATACCGTGGCTAGCTTTGCACTACCTGGCCTGGGTTGTGGCAGAAGGGACCCTGAGGTGCCTAGGCTCACCTGGGACCACAGGTGCCTGTTTTCTGGGGGCAGCTAATGCCACTGTAAACCCAATTAGTGCAAGTCTGCACCAGTCAGCAGTTTGACTGGCATGAACTGGAATCACCTGACTGCCACGTAGGCATGGGTTGAACAGAAACAAGATGCAAACCCTAGATGACATTAAATAGTATCTTGGTCCAAATATCCTTAGTTAAGCATAATTCCTCTTAAAGTGAATTAAGAACTGCCTTTAAGGACAGGAAGTGTTGCTTGCCTAATAGTGAAGAACATGTTCAGAAGAGCTTGTTTGTTTGCTCAGCCATTTCTTTTACAGAACTGGCCTTTATTTTTGTCATACTACTTGCTCGTATGACAACCATGTGGCTATAAATAGGGCTTACGAACCCCTCTGCTGTTAGATGGGGTCACACTACCACTGTTATTTTTTATGGACTTGAAATCTCATGTGTGTGCAATATTCTGTGATTGAAAGAAAAGCAAGCAAACAGGTTAGGGGGAAAAAGCAGCCTCTAAAATTAAAATGTCTCTGTCCTACTGTGTTTCTGTCATCCATTAACATGCTATTGAAGTAAACGGAACATTACGATGTATTGGTGCGTTCAACAGCACAGCAGGTGTATCCTGCTTGGAGTATTCAGTAGCCATCAAACACTTAGAGTGCTACCTAAATTACCTCCTTTCTTCTTTCCACAGAAAATAAGCTTGTCATGACCTGGCCCACAAAGCGTATCTGAGTAGGTTAAGATGGTCTTCCCATTTATGATTAGGTCAACCTTCACGTACAGTTCCTTGATGCTGTGTCCTACACACAAAGTAGAAGGAGAGCTCAGAAAGTGCAAGGGTAAATTGGTTTATTACTTTATTTTAAAAAAGATTCCATTTTTTCTCCCTGCTGTTTAAGCCACTGAATGTTTTCTCTTCACTGAGAACTCCTGATACATAGAAATCCATGCTTCAAGAACAGGTCTCTAAGTCCCTTAAGGTATATAACAGGGGACACAATAGCATATATCTTTATTGTTAACTAAGCTGCCCATGACCGTTCTCTGACTGAGGCCAACTGGCACAGTAAATCTTGTGTCCATATATCTAAACTTTCTTTCCTACTGTCTCTAGCAGAGGGACCATATCCAATGGGCTCCCAGGAGCAGCCTGTGGCCTGTACCTGATGCCTGGAAAATGGTAGCTGGCTCGAGCCAAACCCATGCCAGGAGCTCAGCATAGCAGCTTGGCAGTGCTAGGAGGTTGCCTGCTTGTGCCTGGCTTGCTAACACAGACACAGCCAGTGAGGCTACTGGATTTAGAGGGAGGTCTTGTACTCTGAGTTGTTGGAAAAGTATTTGCAAATGCCTGTAATGTGATTTTTGCAGGCTTGTTTAACTTTGCAGCCACCCAAAACCTGGTGCTCCCCAGGCAAAAGGGCAGCATGTGTCACAGGAGTGAGACTTTCTGCGTGCAAGGAAGCATTCCCAAGTGCTAAAACACACTTGGCACGCAAACTTATTTTCAGCAACAGGAGCATACAGCAGTGCCCTTGTATTTATGCTCTGGTGTAGAGGTTCTAGGTGAGCTTGGGGCCAACAGGGTTGCAAGAAGGTGGCTTTCCTGTGCAAGGATCACAAGTCAAGCTATGGCTAATATTAACTTCTGTGCCCAGGCCATTAGCTCAAATGCAGTTCTGCTTTTGACCTTATTGCTGATCAGTCAAGTGCTGGAGGGTGTAATTTCAGTTAGCACAGGTGATGGCATGAGTGTTGCCTCAGGCTAGTGCTCCTGCAGTGCTCTGGACACCCAGCACTCCCCAGCATGCTGCATTGTATGGCAGGGAGCTGCCCCTGCCTTCCTCTGTGTGAGTCCCCTCCCACCTGCAAGGGTCAGCCTTGGTGATTTGGTAAGCACTGCTGGTGCTGGCACAGGAATGTGGGTGCTGTAGCTGCCTCATGCAACAAGGCCCCTCCCAGAAGTTTAGCTGTGAAGACAAGCTCTAGATCAGCCCCCAGGTTGGCTATCCATATGTACAGATGAAGGGTAGGAGAGGAATAGGGGCTGAGGTCTGTTATGACCTACTTAGGGTGATGCATATAGTCTGAGGCAGAGCTGATAACAGAACTGACGTTTCTGTAGTCCCACACAGGGTTTTGAAATTTCTCAGAAATGAAGCCCATTCATCTTTTATAGGAGGTTTCCACCCTTCTTTACTTCTTAGTACTAGCACTCACACATGAATTGCCTGTTTATGGCATGAGAAAATAGCAATTCACTTACTTAGGACTATTGCAGCTCTGATGTTAAAGGTGTGGGTTGTGACATCAGAACAACGGTCAATGCTTAAAGCAAAATCTTGATGGGGATCTGTTTGGAGACAGAAAGCAGTGGTTAACAAGTTGTATTTTTAATGAGATAGTGACTGTAGAGAAGAAAAAAATAAAATACGGAAGTGTTATAAAAACCAGTTACATCTATTGCTTAGAAATTCTTTGAGTTGTGCTCAAAGCTCCAATACCCTCTGTTAAATAGCAACTCCTGTTCTTTCTGCCACTTCACTCTGAAGCACATTCAGATGGTAGCCTGTATGTGGCCTAAAACCTACTGTGTGGGAAAACAAGCCAAATTCAGGAAAAGCGAGTTCCCCACAGTGGTGGGTAGTCAATACTCATTCAACAGTGAAGTCTTAGCACAGCTGTTCTTCCTAGGCTCTGCACATCACTGTTCCTTCCTCAGTACTGATGAGCAATTGGTTCTGATGATGTTTTTTTTAATTCATTTGTATCACAAGACGGCTTGGCAAGGCTGTATGGGGAAACTGAATCCTGAAGTGGGATGAGAAGTCCAAAAATAAAAATAAAACTGTGTAACAGATCCTGCAGTATTTCACGCTGGGTCCTCTATCATGTGGTATTTCTAACCCAGGAAATAGTCTGTATTTCTCCCTTTCCGGGATGCTTTAGCAGAGCTGTGGTCAAAGCGAGCCCTACAACTGATGTCTGATATGAATGTGGCCCTTACCAGTTCCTGCAGTACCCCTTTCTCTGCACCAAACTCCAAAACTCTTGTACGAACATAATTGCTTCCCCCCGCTTCCACTTTCTTCATTGCTAGCCTCTGAGAGACTCCGAGCTATGCCTGAAGGCTTGCCAATGTGCCACTCTCTGGTGGCAGCTGGCAGTGACAACTGACAGCTCAGCTGCTGCAACCAACAGCACGTGCAAGTGTTTTCCAGAGCCGTGGCTGGAGGTGAAAGGTTTGGCCAGTTGGCAGCGTATCATCTTGAGCCTCAAAGCTTGCTTGAGGCATAGGTTATTCCCGCCTGGTGGTTTTCTAGCCAGCTTGTGCACCCGGTGTCTTTCTCTGTGTAAACCAGAGGAGTGACTGCAGCACATGCAGAAGCAGCCATAGGCTCCTTGGTTTGCATGGAGCTGATGGTGACAAAATATAGGCTTGGGAATTGAATTCTAAGTTATTGTTGCTTGAGGTAATCTTCTTGCTGAATTGAAAATATCGGGTAGGGATAATTTTCCTTTGATGCTGTGGTGAAACTTGAGTCAAGAGTCTCCTCTGTGAGGCTGGCTAGCATCTCTCTAGTCTGACCCTATTTTTGCAGCAGTGGCCCACAGCTGTAGCAGCTGGCAGAGAGCAAGCCTGGGTGACCAAAGCTTGATTGCTTAGAGGGGAGCAGGAAATGAATGAAGGAGGAGCTGGGGGCTTGAACTAAGCCAGGCTCTGCAAGCACATGGATCGTCAGTGTGGTTCAAAAGGAGCTCTGGAGTACTAAGTTCTGGTAAATTAAAGTAAGTGTTTAAAGGAGGGAGTTAAGTCACTGCTATTTCCCACAGCTCTGCCCTGTGCTGGATTTTGTCTTCCATGCTACTAAAGCAGTCTCTGTAGTTGCATGGGACAAAAAGTTGGTGCCTGGAGTTGTTTATCGGCTCAAGTGTGACAAGAGTCAGAGGGTTGCCTTTCCTTCCTTTCCATGTTCCTGTCAGTTCTTGCTCTGTTATTGTGGCTTCAGAAGCTGTTGCAACCCGGTAGGAGAGCAGTTTCCGGCTCCAGACGGAAAACGTGTCCAACTTCTCTTTTCTCCAGGACCGTTATGCCTGCTTCCCCTCTGGTCTCTACCACCTCTCAGGGCTTGGTTTCTGCTTTCCTCTGGACTTCTGCAAGAGCCCCTCTCATTTCTGTATTGTGTGTGGTGCGATGATAAGGTTCAGGAAGCAGCTGCTCAGATTCACAGCAACTTGGGCATTGATGCCTGCAAACAGTGCTGGTTGTCAAGTGACTAAAATTGTTGCCTCTGTAATTTCCAGAGGGGGAGCTATGGTCAAAAATGGCACTGTAATACATACAATACTCTTTTTTTTCAAAGAGACTAGGCTGCGCTTTAGTCAGCAAATTAAGTCATGGCATTAGGGCTAGAAGTTGAATTTTTAATTCAAAATTTATCATCACTAGCTGTTGGGATGGAAAGGGGATGTTCACGAAATCGAGCCTCTCTGGAAAGCATGGGTTTCTTACAATGAACGTGACCTTAGGGTTGTTCTGGTTTGGATGTCTCATGCCTGTTTGCTTTTCTTCTATGGGTTGAGCTCTTTTGCCAGATGACGTATTTCATGGTGCATCATAGCCGTGGATGTCTACTGCACTGTTAGTGATGCAGCATAGGACTCTGGAGTATCCAGAGAAGTGTTGTCTGGTCCCCAGAGAGGAAGAGAGCGTGGAAGCCCTCACATGAGAAATTTCAGAAAAATTTGTGAATTAGAGCACTTGGATTTTGTGTTGTTACTGTTTCTGGGAAATGTAAACTTTTTCACTGGCAAAAGAAACCCCAGTTAACTTTCTGACCATCTCCCTGTGGAAATAATTCAGGCTATGACTTTGCAGTCCAACATGTTAGATGTTGTGGTGTATGTGGGGGCCTCCTGCCTGAAATCAATTGAAAGGATGGCTGTGTTGCTAAAGCTACGGTGCCAAGGAGTCTGGATTCCAAAATACGTAGGCAGAAAGATTGCTGCTAAAAGGAAATTAAAGAAAATAGTGATTTTTTTTTTTAACCATTTGATAAGTGAAGATGTCTGTGAATTCAGCTGGTCACTACGAACTAAGGTAGTGTGCCATACCCCTCTTTCTTTAAATGTTGAGGAGTCCCTCATGTGGCAAAGGCAACTCGAGGCAATTGCCATTTTTGTGTTTCATCTCAGATGCACAACTGTGAGTCACTGTGTGTCTCTTATGGAGGTTTAATACTTATTCTTCCTTGTTTGCCTCAATCTGAAGTGAGCTGGTTAGACTGGAAAAAATACATGTTATGTCTTTCACATGTGCAGAGCAATAACATTTACCGTTAAATCTCTAAAATATGTGGGGCTGCCCTTCAGCCTTCTACTTCCCTGCAACATTTCATAGTGCACAGTACTGTATGTTCCCAGACTTCCCTCCACCCACTCCCTTCAATCTGCTCCCTCTTCCATAATTAAAGCTAGAAACTCTTCAACTGGCTGCAGAGTTTTGCTTTTCCAGTTGAGCTTTGATATATTACCAACACTTAAAACATTGCTGGAAATTCTGCAAACACGAGGTTTAGCAGAGAAAAACGGCTTATTGGGGGGGAAAGGGCCTTTTTCTGTGTCTCTGTGCATCTATGTGAGAAGGGCTTGGACCGCAACATACTTACAGCTAGCAAGAAGATGCCCAGGAGCAGGATTTTGACTGAAGCTTCTCTCTAGACAGTTCTAAATCTTTCAGGAAACTGCTCTGAGAAAGAGGCAAGTACTTGGCTTTTGTAAACAATCAATGCACTGTAAGATCTTAGACCTGTTATTTGGACTTGATGTTGTGGCTAATGATGAGTTCTCAACTGTGTCTAGCACTGAACATACAGCTCTCGCTGAAGACTGACTTCTGTAGTACAGTCCTGCTTTGTGAGAGGTAAATTTGGGATGTACCTGGCATCTTGCCACCAATCACATCTTACATGGCATAGTGCCAGCTTGACCCCATGCATCTCACCTCCCATTTCACCCTCACCCTAGTGGAGATTTATTGCTATATTGGCTTGGTATGTGGTTTTCCTTGCATATGACGTGTAGTGGCACCATAGTGCAAGATTTGAACCTGGCTTACTATGGCAAGGTGCTCACAAGCGATGAATTTGGCTGGGTTTTTCTAGAAGAACGAGCAGACGTGCGTAGTATAGCCTAGAAGCTCAGATGAGTTCCTCACCTTTTCTCCCTCTAGTTTCTTTTCTTCCTCTTGTTTTTGGGAGAAGGTTCATAAGAAAATTAGCTCAGACATATTTAGTGGCGTATCTGTGCGACCCTCCTGGCTGCAAGCCTTGTGCTTTTGATGGAGACTATTACCCCAGTAACAGGTACAACAGGTGGGAACACACTTCTGTGCCTCAGTTACCGCAGTTGTGGGGCCACCAGCTCACGCTCCTGGGGGACATGGGTATGCACCAAGCCACGGGGCTGTGAGCTGGGGCTGCCCTTATGCCCCCCTTGTCTGCTCAGCCTCCTGTGCTCTGGGAGGTGATCTCCAGTAGGAAGATGGAGCAGACAGCTGGGAATGATAATGAGCTAACCCTCTATGGCTATGTCCCTCCGAGCCTGAGCTGCTAGATGACTAAATGGGCATTACAGAAACTGCATGGCCAGATGGGAAGCACCTGTTATAGGAATTTTTCCTGGGCTGGTGCACAACAGCCCCTGTCTTTTATTCTTCCCTCTCCCTCCCCCCATCTGGTAAACTATCTTTTACTGGCTTTACTCTCATCTGAATCTGCTCTAAAATCACATTTTTTCCATATGAGCATGAAAACCAGTGGTACAAGTGAATAGAAGCAGCAAGCAGGCAAGCTTTGCTTGTAAGATTCCACATCTGTAAGTCTTGCTCTGGTGAGATGACTCTTCAAATTGGCAGGCTTTGGGTGTTTCAAAATAACGCTTTTAGGAGCAGATAGGCCACATAATTGAATGGAATGACATAGCTGTGCTTGGCTAGGGTCATACAAGGACAGACTGGTGCTAGAGGAGCTGGAAATTAGCACAAGGAAAAAACTTATTTAGTAATTACCCAACACTCCTCACCTTCAAAGCTCTTAATAAAATTAAATCATTAGTCCTTATAATGTTCAAGGTGATGAAAGGAGAGGGAAAGAATGAGGAACTGTTTGGGATCTCAGACTTTATGTAATCACTCAACATTTTCTCTTTAATGTCTATTTAAATGAATTAACCTGAATGCTCAAGGTTATATTTGACACTAGAATCTACTTATAAGGTATTGAGGAATAAGCATCAGCTGAATTAGCAGCTCTCCAGTTGTGCATCTAGATTTCCCCAAGCACCTTCAGTTTA